AAAATTGAGAGGATTTTGTGCGCATTTGACTCACTCTTGCCTGGAAACAAAAATATACCGTCATCTACCAGAGAAGAGTTACTCAAATTTAAGAAATCGGAGCTTGAAGGTTGCAAAGATAGTCAAACAAGAACCATATAGTGGGATATTGACGTCTCATCCGTGTGCAATATGTAGCTTGAGATTAACCAGTAATCAGTACTCAACGTGGTGATGAACGGTGCACATTTTGTTCCTTTTGCTTAGGTTTTCATTTAAGTGATAGGTTTTCAAAATAGGCGGTATGAAATTTTGCAAGAACTACCTACCGAGTGATGTTTAGGAAGCTTCGTGTCGATTTTCGTGCTGGATACGTTCATCTTTGTTTTAGTACCAAAGAAGACTAATCAGGAAATACCTATCGTGCAACGCAGTGATAAACAAGTTTAGTAAGCTGTCAATTCGTACACGTGTGTACCGCCATGCATCACTTGCGTCCTTTGTACATGCAAAGATCTTCTAATTTCCGTCCACCTTTTTTAAAAATCCAATTTATCGGTTTCACTACATCTTTACTACATCTTTAGTAAAAGTTCGAAAAAACATATAAATCGGGATAGCAACCCAAAACAATGCCAGTTAAAAATTCGCAAGAAAAAGATAAAGGTCCGGCGCGTATTACTTTGGGCGATTTTTTCACTCTGAACCGGAGCGGACCGCCCCCGATTAGCTCTAAAACGGCATCATTTTCATCCTATTGATCGCCAGTGAGGAACCACGTTAACGCCATACGTTTGTTTCCGGGATGGGCAGATGATCGGAAAAAACGGTAGAAGTGCCCTGCTTCACACCAAGGCAAACGTGAAAAATTTAGTCCACGGGAGATGTTCACCCACAGTCAACCGGTTGTGGATTTCTGGTTTTGCTGGTTGAAATCCCTGTGTGCAGTCACCAAGTGAATGAAATCTCGGACAAATGTGACAGAATGAAAGGCCGTTACAGGTCAGGACAGATCATTTCAAGCTAATTGCATGATTAGTGGAGAGTTCCGCCAAAACGCGTTCATAATTAGGATACTTGCTTTCTGTCAACCACTAACGATCAGAAGCTGGAGCGCACATTCCAAAGGTCGCAGAAATAGACAGAGTGCGTCGTTTATAATTAAATGCGCACCTTCTCCTCGGTCAAGCCCTTCCTTTGCTCAAGCTCACTGTTTTCTGCATATACCTGGTCGACTCGATATTCACCCACAATCTCTCATGAACTTTTGACCCTTGAAATGTCAAACTAATTTTGACGAAATTTTCACGCGCATCTTTGTCCACTTGCCTCGCGCACACGTTTGTCGTGAATTCAGATTGATTCGCGTTCTCTGCGGGCTTTCTTCGATTCGCACAACTTCGTCCACCAGCTAGACGGAAAGCTCTATAAATTGAGGTTTACTTCCCATTCATATACATATTTTGTACGTGTAGTACCGTATACTATTAACAAATCTGAGGACTTCGCAACTCATAGCTTTCGATTTCTGGCGGCACTCAGCTAAGCTACCAGAATGCGTCACCTTTTCTGCGAAAGGTCTGTCAAGGCTCCACGATTTTAGCGTAAAGTTAATCATACTTCGAGCAATTAATTTTGGCTTACTACTCAGTTTCGTTTGTGATGCTGGTCTATCCCGTCTAAAAAGGTATCGGTCATTCCCGGTGGAGTTCTTTGAGCTCGAGGAACTTAACAAGGGTTTGCCGGCCCGCATTTTGCAGCTTATTCGTGAGAAGTGAAACGTGAAATGCTGATGAACAGGAACAATAGGAAACCAGGCACAGAATCATGACACATATACTTTACACAATGAACCAATTTTATATGCTTACGACGATTTATCTAACGATTTCGGTGCAGTCAGGGCTCACCTACAAAAAGATGTAGATTTGATGAAAAGAAACAACTACTACATCTTATCAGGGGAGATACAAATATATTGGTTGTGTCATCACCTTTCTTATGTTACCCAAACTGTCCATATTTGTTGGAAAATAAAATGAAGTCGTTGTAAATTGATCACACACGAGTGAGGCTCACCAAACTTGTGATTTTGCTTGCGTTATGCTGTACTACACTATGCTTCACCCTTCTACATTTGATTCTAATATAATGCACAATATAATGCACAACAGAATTAGAGAACTGATATTCATCCTCTCCTAATCTCAGCTGTCACTGGTAGTTTACGCAGTACCGTTTGTTCAGGCATTTGGAAATGTTAATTCGCAGTTTCCATTCCTTTTCACCGTGGTAGGGTGCGCAGATGAACCGTACTGCATTTCGTGCAAAAATTAAATTACATTTACGCATATTCCCCGCAAGTAGCTCTTACGCTTTTATTCTCACTTAATGCATAACGCATTCATGTGTCCACTCTTATCCAAATCCTATCGTGCTTCGCCAGCTTTCGTTTACCTATAGTCTGTCAGAAGTGCATGTTGTGTGATTTTGTGATTCTGTTGTCTCTGTGATGTCCCAGTGAAAGTTGTTCCCATTGCATTTCCGTGTATGCCTAAGCAAGAGATGTTTCACGCCAAAATGCTTGTCTGTCCTTAACGTAACCTGATTCCGGTCAAGTTTTGTTGCTTATTACTTTTTTCCCCTGGCAACTATCGATACGCATGTGCCATTTACATACGACAGGATCCAGGCTACACGCGAGGTGAATGTTTGAACTGAATAATTAACCTCTAGTTTTGATTCCCAACGTCAATTTGTTTTGCCTCCGAAGCACTGGCTCGCTTCGCAGGCTTTGTAGGAACAATAGGACAACGATCTTCTCTAAGGTGCAATCGAACAACATGCATCCGAGTTCAATTATGAGTGGAGTGGTATCCCCCACTGAAGCTAATATACAATCTCCAGCTAACTAAGAGAGGCAGATGCAATCGACACCATTGGTTTGGTCATATAATTCCACTTTTAACTTAGTCCATGAAACGGCTTACAGGACTAAAATCTAGGCCAACATCGCTTGACTCATATAGTGTATTTCGTGGGTTTTTGTGACACCCAAATTCACAATTCATGAGCGTCTACATTTTAAAAGGAGAAATTTTACATGCCTGACTGCAGTATCGTTTGTAATGTTGAATGGCAGTGCTCTAGCCAGATCGTGATCCCATGGGTCATCTCCTGCTGCTCTTATGCCGTTCTTGTCAGTGGCCTGTAAACTCACTCGTATTGTTTATGACGAAAAAGTTATATTTGTAGGCACAATTCTCCACTCAAACGGAAAAATCCAATTAGGCAACACATCCCAGGTTTTGCACACGCCACGGACAGTCCAGATAGAAACTGATAGCAGGCACGCCACTGATATCGGCTCAACGCTATTTCGTTCGGTGTTCTCAGCGAAGTTCAGGGTGTGGTTCCTCCCTAGGTTTCCGCCAGTTCGAATTAGGTAAGAACAGAACTATTCTCGACAGGCGGTAACAGGTCTGCATAACATAAAGTTGGGCCAACTTATCTAACAATACTGGATGAATTGTTTGAGTGGACTGCCTTTTACCCCATGAAAGAACGTTCAAACTTCCTACTTTTTCGTGATCGACTGATGGCAAATTCTCTGGTTTCTACCGATTTTACGTAAAATTCGGACACCTCCTTAGCCAAAGATCTGAGGATATTTCAAATCCTTCGCCCAAATTTGTCGAGTGTCGTAGACGTGCAGCAATACACGTCACAATATAGTTTGATATGCTTGTCCTTTTTAGATTCAGCGATATGTTTTTAATGCTATAAACAGTGCATAATATAACCAATTACTGCATTATTCCATGGCCTTGATCATTCGTAGGACCTGTGTGGGAGTTGAAGGCCACTCAGACCGAATATTTTTGCTGTCTGTCGGCATTCAGCTAATTGTAGAATAGGTTGAAAGCTAGCCAGGTCGGGTAACCTACCCAAAACGTTTGAATCAGTCTCTCAGAGACAGGGTCTAGTTTGATTTCACATCGCTATGCGAGCCTTCTACCAAATTTCACAAATTCACCGGTGGATAACTCTCCTTTATGCAAAAGCGTCTTGATTAGCGGGCGATTAAAATAAGTGAAATTAACTTGTCTTATAAAGTCCGCTGGATCAGGACGTATTAGATAGATCTTTGGTGATGATTTTCCTCATTTTGAAGATCAACCTACAGCACCGATATTCAAAACGAAGAGGAGAGCAGATTCCCTTTGCTTGCGTGCAATGATCGCTGCTATAAAAAATGCACACATGGTAATTTCAGTCAGCAGAGAGAGAGAAATAAGCTTTAACACCTCTCGCCAAGGCACACAAACTTGACTCTGCACGCTAGGAAGTCTGCAAATGCTGTCACGTCACATAAAAACCACACTAACAGGGCGGATATGAAGTATCGGGATTAACTTGTTTTTAAAACTTCGGTTATTCAAGTAAACACAACATAAAGATTTGGTCGTTTGAACTCTTGCACACTGTCGCAAAGCTGCAGAGGGATTACAGAAAATGATGTTTGAAAAAAAGACTAGGCAGCGCCCTGTAACTAGTTCTGATTGGCAACTTGGGTTCCTTGTAGCTATACCTTCATAGTTAAGATCTTTGGTGGAAAAATTGGCACGCACTAGCAGAAGCTGCTTACAGACTTTGTTTAAACGTATGGGCTCTGTTGAATTTCCGACAAATTTTAGCAAACGCAGATTTTGAGTTGTGAAAAGAGAAGCTGTTTTGTGTTCCTCCAAACGATCAATTTACTGCTTTTCTGAGTACTACACTCAGATAAGACTACTCGAAGCACACGATGAACTGCACTGTCATTAGTGAAGACGGGGGGCATAAAAGTTTTCTTTTCTTCCCAACAAAACAAACTCTTTTTAAGGCTGCAAGGTGATGCATACCACTGGAACATAGCTACTGGTTTGGCTACGGGATAAAAAACGTTCCAAAACCATGTACCAAGAAGAAGAAACGAAAAACATATATTTTAACTGGATGAATGCTGGCACATAAAAACATTAAATATGAGACAGATGTGAACATGGTTCCGTGGTTAGCTCCACAAGGTCAATTTCATTTATCACATGGGAAACACGGCGAATGTTTTCCCGTTGGGCCGGTTTCACTTCTGTCCGATCATGGGAAGTAGGAGAAACTGATGGGCCACATCCATTAGTCTCAGGTGTCTGGTCAAACTGGTGTCGGTGCGTTCTATTCGGCTCATTTGTACATTCCGTTGTGGCGATATTTCTCACCAATCGAGTCGCGTTCGCTTCTGCATATTCCGTTTTCCCTTCGGCAACATTCGGCATAAGATCGTGGTGCGAACAGCAACATACGGTTTGGAACAATTGAAGTGCCTTCGCTCGGAATGGTGGGCCATTCAAACAATAAATCACAAAGTGAACCGCAAAGTTTGTGTACCACAAAGTGTAGACGGTCTTTTCAATGGCAAACACCAGAGAGACACGATCGGGCTCCTCTTTTTCAACCCACTTGTTGACGTCCAACGCAAAGTAGACAAGATCATACGCCATTAGAGGAGAAACACTCACGATGAAAAATATACTAATTGCCACCAACATCTTCGTGAGGGATGAAGATTTTTCAACACAAGCCCTCACCTTGATTGAATCTCGCATTTCCGATCGGGCTTTTCTGGAGTATATTTTCAGGTAGCGTTTTGTATCTACAGTACACTTGTTTGACGGTGGTGTGATAGCAGGAGATTTGCGAGTTTTATCCTCGTGTGTGGCTAATGAAGGTATGAAGCTGGGACAGTTGGATTCCTGCACTGAAGTAGCATTCTGCGCCTTGCGTTTGCGGTTGAATTCACGCATTCTTTTCAGTCTCATTCCAATGACGACATTAGCACCTGTCATGAATATGATGGGCAAACAACAAATAAGCAGCATATCAATGTACGGAAACACAATTTGGGCAAAATAGTTGGGCGTACATTCAAATTCCCCCGCTCTGTCTGTTGATATGCTGTAGGTCATGGTGAAAAAGAAATGTGAATCGAGTGCAATCAATCCGATGGTGAGTGATAGGATGGTGATGATCGCATTACGTTGTGTACAAATGTGCTTTGCCCGAAAAGGCCGACCAACCCAAATCGCGCGTTCCACTGTTACGGCGACCATTAACCAAACGCTCAAATAGGTCAGAGTATAGTGAACGAACGACGTGAGTGGACAAATCAATGACGAATGATTTCTTATGTTACTGGGGAAAAACACCGTGGTATTGAAAATGTTTACCAACATGCTGGATATAATATAAAGTAGATCAACCACTGCAAGGGCTGTCAAATAGACTGTGGTGCTCGACTGTCGAAGGCGTTTTGTACGGAGAACGACAATGGTGAGCGCATTGCCGAACAGACCAAATACGAAAATCATCATCTGTATGGCGAATGCGACTTTCAACACAATGTGTACCGCAACTGGTTGTTGAATCATTTCTGTGACGTTGCCGCTGATATTGTGGATTGTCAGATTTCGCATTGTACAGTCGTACTGATTGCAAACCTGTAGAAAGAAGGGATAAATATGGGGAATTTAAATTGTGTTTGCCATTCATTCTAACTTAAGTGAACAAGTATTTAAGCTGATTCTGCAGAACTTCCCCTTGCTTTACAAAACTTTTGAGTACATGTGCGGCGTCAGAGCCTTGCGAAATATATCAGTATTTTTTCCAAAGAATCTTATCATTGTGTACACAAGTCTTCAACTGGACATCATTAATAATTTGCTTTTTGATTCATCCGTTTGATTTAGTCATTGACATTTGTGGAATGAAATGCTATGATCTTCCTGTGGCACCGGAATGTCCCTAGCTGCCGCATCAAGCTTGGTCTAATTTATACATATTCCACAAAAATACTTTCCCCTGTACTTCCTACAGTTTCTCTTTCCATTTGAGGGAGTGTCGTTGCTCAGTCTCATTAGTAGCCAATAGAGCGTTGACACTTCAGCAAAACTAAAGTGAATCACCCATTTTCCTAAACACTTAAGAACATAGTGCCCTCTTCATTTGAACAGCCACTCTATCAGGCCATCAACGCTATTCTGTTGAGCTTATCCAATCAGCAAATAATGCCGACAATTGTATTCCGGACATCTAAAGTGACAGGGAGTGTGCAGCCAAACAGCATGTGTCCGCTGAATGAGTCTCATTATCACATGCATTTTGAGCGATATTTACAATGCTCCCGATGGCTGGAACTAGGCACTGTTGACACTTTTGGCTGTATTCATCGACTGGGTCAACTGTCTGGACATTCTCGTCATGTGACAAACCAAATGCACAAAATATTGAATGATAAGCTAGACATGTGTACGTGCGGTGTGGCGCTTTTGCGAACCACGCAAATGTTGGAGCTCATCAAATTCTACAAACTCGTTTTTTTTGGAGCTATCACACAAGATCGCCAGGCAGATTCAAGCACCTGTGTCCATACTAGTTATAAAGTAGTGCCAGGCAGGTTAATATGCAGAAAACACCAATGAAATAGCGTAGATAGGATTGGACTGGACTTCCAATTCAAACAACAGTTGTACACCGATGGCGGAAGTCATGCACGTTACTCTACGACCTTGTTGTAAACTACTGACATTAAGCAGGATAATATAGATACAAACCGACTCAAATGATCACAGATGAACGCAGTCACATATAATTAGCTAACTGAGATGTACAACCAGAATATTCTCACCGATCTGGAGCGGGAAGGTGCAAAGACGAAAGGATATCAGAAGATGTTTAAAGTATAAATGCGGGTGTAAGCAAACTCAAATTATTTTTGCTGTTCAAGTTATGGGCCTACCACAGTCACAAATATGCCGGCTGATAGGTGACTGAGTTCCAGCCATATTCAAACTTTTGTTGAGAGAAAAAAAGGGAGAAAAAGAAATAGTTTTATAAGGCAAGGACGAGTGCGAATTTTTTCAATTCCACCCAGTTTTCCGTCGTGTGAGCAAAATACATTTCACAATATCTCAAATATTAAATGCTTCCATGAGCTTCTTGCAACAGTCTTTCGTAACCCTTAAGCCCTCAAAAGAATACAAGTCTGCATGAGAAGTGAGGGGTGATAGCTTTTAAATGATTCACTGCGTACAACGGTGTTCAATACACTAGTCAAAATCTGAGTCACAGAATCGTCCTGCTCACAAAGAACGCAGCCACGTCTAGGCTCAGACAAATAAACCTTCATAAGCGTCATGCTTGAAGAAGCACTTATAGAATTTTCACGTAACATCACATAGGTTTCTTTAGTTACCATTTTCAGATATTCAAAATTATTAGCCATGGTACTCTGTTTCCGGTCCCTCATCACATCCGCTCAGGGTTTATAGTGCCTCGCTCTGGGGGTGCACAATCTTTTTTCGCCGTCCATTATATGGAAGTTAGTTACACTATATATTTATCAGTATACCGCTTGACTGCGAACCTCACAAGGAAACCATCACTCTAGGTTTTTCCTGACTTACTGGGAAAGTAGATATTTTTGTACGGTACGACATTCTTAGGGAAGTATGAGAGTGCAGGTGGGATGATGAGAGGCAGGAAGACTACCAGACCCTCCCACATCGGTTTGTTGCCAAGGTAGAAAAAACAGTATATTGTTTAAATGTCAAGATCACTTTAATTTTCGAGAAAATCCTATAGTTCAAACTCTGGTACGTCCCATAGATACACCGACGTTGTAACTACCGTAATTTTGTTTGCAGACAAGCTGAAAGCAGTCAGTGTACAATCAAATAAAGCGGCCCGACAAGGCACTCCAAGAAATTGTATAGCAACTTGCTTCACAATAATCAACAATAACCAAGTGTTGAAAACATACAAACAATAACAAATAATCTGGAAAGTAAGGTATTTGAAGTGTTTTACTAGATTTAATACGGAAACTGTGCAATCGTTTTTCTGTGTTCCTACTCTGCGATTGCTATGAATTTCCAGTTGTCTCCAAAACTTCACTTGAGACTAACACCATAGACTCCTGTTTAAAGTTTAGACTTTCGCGGAATACAAAGGCAAATTTAATAGCAAAAAGCGCCGTGTGATTCATTCTTTGGTGACACTGTGCACTGTGCCGTTTGGCTTGAACTGACAAATATAGTAAGCATAAAAACCTTCCACACTGAAGATGCTGACGATCTTCTTTGCGGATCCGTATTCCTTCATCTGAAGTAAGCTCAGTAGAGGTGGGTAGACAGAAGTGAATGTGTGTAAGGTCATATGGACTACCAAGAAAACAGCGGATCACCTAGCTTGTCGAACTTACACCCATTACTATTCGAATAAAACTAATAAGTGCACTGATGATGCGCACAGATGACGTCTTTTTTAACGGTGACGAAACAAACAAGTTATGAGAAAGACAAAGAACTAACAAGGAAATATCCGTTTGCGTCTCCGCGTCAAGGCATAATAAGGCACAAAAGCGCAGTCCCATTGGAACTAAAGAAATCCAAGATCTACCGGTTGTTCATTTTTTCTAAAAATCTACGGGTCTGAACTAATTTGACACGAAAATAAAAATAATTTATGCGCCCGACTGACGGCTGGCACAAAAGGTCATAAGATCAAAAGGTGTCATAAAAGTGAAACGTATTTTTGACGCATGTTAGTGCCAACTTACTTGACTTGTTTTGGCATGAGATAAAGATGCACTACATTTTTGGGTGGTCTTCCTTAAAATGTCTTTACTATGATAAAATCACGCACACTGTAGGGTGCATTCAACTGAAGACTAATTCCTTTGATGTTCACGCTGTTTGAGAGATTAAGTGAGCGGAACGCTAGCTCAAACCGAACGTTATTCCTCAAGTGAATATGTTTTCGACTTTCTTCGTCTCTCTTTCCGTTATCCGAGAATTTGACGTAGCGCAAAATGTTCATTGTTGTCACCTGTATTTTTTCAAAAGGTGTAAAAATCATATCTGTCTATAAGGTTTTCACGTGTATTGGTGCACTATTATTCGACTTAATCCAATTTTGAGTACTCCTGTGTAGCGCGAATGTCTTTCGAATTTACCACAAAGTTAAAGCGCGATCACCATATATTTTTTCTGGAAATGATGTAAACTGCCATAAAGAGAGTCGACTGGATTTAAATATATATGCGGTTGAGAATAATACACCGTCTGGCAATCATTCATATCAGGTTCAGCTAATTTCTGCAGAATATTTGGTACCACGGCGTGTAAAGTTATGCCGAATAATTCTCTACTAAAAAATTAAAAGTTCATAATTCCGGATGTTATGTTTCCAGATTATGCAACAGATAGTCAAATAACTATAGCTCCCAATAAAACATGCACAATTTAGTTCTGTAGACAGCATATGACCACGTATTGTTTATTCCGTTTGTTTAAATTGCTCTCCATGGAAAAATCGATTTAGGCGTCCAAGATGAATTGAAATTATTGAAAGCCGAACGTCTTTTCCTCGTTTTAATCTATTCTTCAAGCCGAAGTTGAGTCTCTTCTTTTACCTGGGACACAACCAATCTATTTTTATTGCCAGTAGCAAACCAATCCACGTCCAACTCACAAAATAAACGAACAGTTATTATCCATAGACGGGTTTGCAGTTTAAATGCTCTTGCTGATTCGCTTGGTTATTGCCTGCTCAACGGGCGAGTCACTTTTATGTCTGTATTTTACGAGTGCTAACAATCTTTGAAAATATTGATCATGACCTAAATATACTCCCAATGGAATAAATTAGCATCATTAATGTGACATGCAGCTGTGAAAAGTTAATTGACCAGATCAATAGGTTGTCCTAATTTTCACTTATATCTTTAGTAGTCTTTCTTACTTTTTTGTGTGGTGAACAAATGCACTCATCGCTACTAAGTAAACGATTACGGAAAAAAAACGAAAATCAAAACGGGAACGCGCTCTTCCAATTTGGGCAAAACTAGATCATATTTGGACGGGTTGTCCTAATGCTGCTTCGTAAACTGGAAAATGTGGGTTCTTGATGGACAGGTAATTAAGCCGTTCGTTTACCAAGACAATGTGGGATGATCAGAGCTGATTCTTTCAGTTAAATCCGTGTGAAAGTTGCCCCAGTTTGGTCACAGTGATAAAGAGATGGACAATGGTAATTAATTGACCAGCAGTACCGATCGAATGCACGTGATGGTCACCCAGAATGAAGTCCTAGCCCATTAGTGTTTTATTAAATAGTTTTTCCTCATATTTGATGTTTTGAGCTATTTTTGTGGTGGAGAAATAAACCTTTCGCAAGCCGAAAATGGGCTGTTCGATTGATAGATTGAGCGAGAGGATGGATAAACAAACGGGTAAATAGATTCCGCCAAGTTTCGTTTGTATAACGGGCCATCAGCCCATTCTTACTACTGAAGAACTTGTCGACAAAAATTGTTCCACAACCAAAAATACCAAAACGGCCGGCTGGGAAAAATGGCTATCCAAAATTA